TTTTAGTATGTATGATATTTGATGATATGATTTTTAGTAATATTTAAACAAAATTTTCGGGTCGTATTTTTGACGGACGTTTCAGAAATCTTCTCTTCTAATATTGATTATCATGAGTATAACCAAGACGATATGCAATTTCACATAAAAGGATAGTGTTCCAGCATAACTAACATTATAGGAAATTATAGATGGAAACCAAAAAACTTGATAATAAGAACCCACCTTGCGACTCTTGATGATGCTTGTTTCCTGCCACTTTTAGTTCGATTACTTCAATATATAGGGAGATCCAAGACTTGGTGTATACATAATCATAAACCTACATGGACACACAATTGATAAACTTTTATTTGGATCAAGGATGTGCCAACCCGTTCACATGGACGAGGCGGAGTTGTTCTTTGACAAAGGGTTGCGCGGGGCGATTAAGGACATTGTGGTTTGTAGTGACCCTTTCTTTGGTGACATATAATGGCGAATTGTCACTATAACCATTAGCTTTGGTGGTTTGGGTTTGTACTCGGCAGTAGAGGCTACTTCATATGCTTTTGTTGTCTCAAGGGTCCAATCTTGGGTGTTGCGAGGCCACATCTTACGGGATAGCGGCATATGTACTATGGATTCTGATTTTGCTTGTGCCTTGGATTCTCTTCCTAACAAACTTCTAGACATTGACCTTAGCAAATTTACTACTAAGGACACCGACCTGCTAAATAGCAAAATACATCGGCGAGTGCCATTTTTAGTAAAATTGTCCAAGATATGGAAGTTCATTTCGACATAACAGCTTGAAAGAAAGTAGTTTTCTAGTGTTTACATGCACCATATGCTCAAGATTTTCTTCTAGCTATCCCTATTGATGGGCTTGAACAACATATGTCTCTTATGGAGTATCGTACTATCCTTAAATATCGGATCATGATCCCAATATATTTCCAGATGACGAGATATGTCTGGTGTGCCGCAAGGCATGTTTGCACTCTTCTGGAGAGCATGCAGGTCACTGTTAAGAACTCCCTTGGTTCAAATATAGGCACGATATGGTTAGAGATGTTTTGTTTGATATATTTAAGATTGTCGGTGTTTCCGCCAAGAGAGAAGCACATGCGAATTTCTTGACTGGCCCGATAGAAAGAAGGTCAACCCTTAGACCGGCTGACGTTTTGATTTTTGCATGAGTTAGAGGGAAACATGACTGTGTGGACCTTACAAGGATATCACTTCTCTTGAACTTGAGGGATGAGGGGTTTCAAGGCGGGATAGGCTTCTTTAAAAGCTACTGCATGCAAGGTCACAAAACATGAGAAATCGTGCATGGAAAATCAACATGTGTTCATACCATTTGCATTTGATACGTTTGGCCTCCTCGCGCTGGATGCGGTGGAGCTTCTTAATCGAGTACAACAGATCATGCATAACAATGTTATATCCCCTAGATCTATAGATGTAGTATTCAAAAGAATTGGCTTTATCATACAAAAAGAAAATAACCACGAAAAAGCTAGCTTTGAAGATTACATAACATAATCATAAACCTAGCAAGAAAAACCCATTAGTTTCTTTTAAATCTCAACTTTAATCTTGTTTCAAAAGGACAAAGGTCGCAAACTGCTCTTCACCCACGTCAAAATATTTCCGACTCATAAAACACTAACCTTAATCTTGGTTTTCTGAATATGATTCGGGACACGTTTCTCGGTTTGGGAATTTTGTCCCAAAAGCCGGCTTTTATCCGACTTTAAACAGTGAACTCAAAAAACAACGAACATAACTCCTATTAGTGCACCTCATACGCATATCCCAAGCTACTTGAAGGCAATTTACTATAAGGCACGTTACACATGAGAAGGTTTTTTATTGATAAAGAATCAATACAATAAAAATCACATAAAGGTCACAACTTCGTCTAAGTGAACACATGCAGTAGAATATAAGAGAAAACACCATGAAATTACCAATCTCTAAGATAATCTAGACAACATCAAACATGATACAAAAGTCGATATAAAGAACAATCTTAAAAGCACTTTTCAAACCATCAAACACATGATTCTTAAAGATTTTCAAACCATCAAACACATGATTGCTAAAGATTTTCAAACCATCAAATACATGATTGTTAAGATTTTCAAACCATCAAGCACATGATTGTTAAATACTTTTAAACCATCAAACACATGACTGTTAAAGATTTTCAAACCATGAAACACTTGATTGTTAAATAGTTTCAAACCATCAAACACATGATTGTTAGAGATTTTCAAACCATCAAACACATGATTGCTAGAGATTTCAAACCATCAAACACATGATTGTAAAATATTTTCAAACCATCAAAAACGTGATTGTTAAAGACAAACCCATAGGTCTCTAATAACACAAAATAAGGATTAAAACATAGTTTTAAACAAAAGCCTAGATATTCGCCGGGCAATTGATGAGCTCAGCAACTTTTCTTTAAAATCGCCTTCTCTAAGATCGCCTTCTCTGATACTTCATTCCCTTGGCCCGTCATATTTAAATTGTTAGCTGTCAGAAAAAACAAAGAATGGCATAAGAAGAAAATAGCATATATATATATATATATATATATATATATATATATATATATATATATATATAGAGAGAGAGAGAGAGAGAGAGAGAGTAAATAAGATATTATGATTGCGTATTGACTCGAGTCAATTACCAAAATGTTATGCAGAAAAAGTTGTACTGCATTTTGCTGCCTATGACCGATGTCAAAGGAACAAAAAATTTAATTTTTTGTCAAAAGAATCGTTTGGGAGTATTCTGTTTTGTGTAGCAATATTTCACATGAACTCCCTTTTTACATTCCAAAAAAAATAGAACCAAAATCAACCTCCATCTTGTACTAATGTAATATCTCAGAAAACCAAAAAAAAATTGGCAGCCAAAGTAGTGACCATATTGTATCTCCTCGGAAGTGCATTAGCTGGCACATTGTTCTAGATCATGCACATTATTGCTTCCTTGATGAACCACATTGATAAAATTTCCAATGACATCTCGAAACGATATGTAACATGTCCCTAGGCACCACAACCCATAGGACATCATGCATGTTGATAATTACATATTAGAAAACGAAATTAGGGCTTCATTAGTCATGATAACTTTGCGGCCATCATTAAGCCAATGCAATTTGTAGGATTGTGGGGAAAGCTGTGGGGGAAGTTGCAACTCCTTCACAAGAGCTAGAAACTAGCCTATCTATCACTCACTAGGCTGGATATTGTCTACAGTGGTAACTAGGTCAGGCAATTTATGCATGCTCCGACAGTTCTCTCAAAATGAAGTTGATCAATTTCTTAGATTTCTGAAAGGAACACCTGGAAATGGAATGCTTTATAGAAATAAAATAAAAAACACACAACTGGAAGATTAATGGATTTGCTGAATCAAATTGGATAGATAGCAAATCAACAACAGGGTATTATACCAAGTTTTTGGAAATGGGGTCACTTGCAGAAGATAAAAAATAAATAAATAAATAAAATAAAGTCAACAGTTTTGTCAAGTATTGTTTAACAGAGTGTTGTGCCATTCCACAAGGATTTTGTGAATTAATCTGTCTAGACAAGTTAATGTCAAATTTGAAAGTTAATGTTAATGGTCACTACATTTGTGCAGCGATAGTTAATCCGCACTAGCCAATCTTCATAATCGAATACAAGATCATTGGATGAAGGAACTTCATCAAGTAAGAGATGGATAGTGCCATAGTGGAAATCCTATACGCCTTCATTGGCTTCAGGCTCACAACACAGATGCATAGTTGGTAAGTTTCAGAGTTCGAATCTTGAATTTCTAGAAATCGTTTATATTCCTTGTACACAACAATACGTTCTGTACTATGTAACCAATCTAAGTTCTTCTACAGATCGGTTCCTCCTTCGAATTCAAAGATATCAAGCTTAAGACCACGATCATCATTGTTGTGTGACTATACTCTTTGACATCGCTAAACACGAAACACATATGAACCACAATTATATTGCATTGAACTTGCAAACCATAAAGACTAGACTCTTTAACTTCCCTAAAGATTAAACTCCCATGGACAAGAATTAAATAGCATTCGACATGGATTTTGATTTTCCATGTCATGCAATGAGCCTCAAAGGGAAGTAAACGAGCCTCTAATCCCTGATCCACCTTTTTTTTTTAATGTGTGAGCATCAATAGTTTGTGTTGCGATTAATACATGGATTTTACCAGGCTTTTGAGAAGCTTTTCACTAATAAATGGCTAAAAGCTTACAAACGAAGATGCAAATGAAAACAATGAATAATTGTTTATAAGGATAGTGAGAGTCAAGTGCTTTACCTTTCAAGATTTCCGGCCTCACTTGAAATAGCTGAGTCAAGACAGACTTTTGGTACCTAGTCATATGTACACAGATAAAATCAGAGGCACAGTCACAATATGAAATTAGTATGGCATAAGGACAAATGAAATCTTCTCTTCTAATATTGATGATCTTGAGTATAAGCAAGACGATATGCAATTTCACATAAAAGCATAGTGTTCTAGCATAACTAGCACAATAGGAAAAGATAGATGGAAACAAAAAAACATGATAATAAGAACCCACCTTGTGACTCTTGACGATGCTTGTTTCCTGCCACGTTTCGTTCGTTTTCTTCAATATATGGGGAGATACAAGACTTGGTGTATACAGAGGGGCCCCTATAAACTTTGGAGCATGAGCAACCAACTTTTTAAGACATAAAGACTTCTTATTTGGTATATAGTGCATTAAATCTTTCAAGCGGTGCACAACTTCAGTCTTAATCTTATCTTTAGTGTCCACAATCTCCAAGACGGCCTCACACTGTACTCACACATCATCCATACTACTTTGTGGAGACAATTAAATATGCACAAATAACCGCCCATGGTCCCTAACCGCTCTGCCCATTCGCAAGGTTGCGGGATCTCCTCAAATTTATGCTCAGACAAATCAAAAGAAAGAACTACATGTGGATTCTCATAAGCTGAACCATGACAAACAACCCAATGAAGTGACCCATTGTAAAGGACACCAACCCTACTGATAAAAGTGTAGTTCACTTCTCCAATAACTTCCCAGACGTTGGATTTTAAAGTAAACATTAGGAAACAGGTATGATTACTATCTTTCATAAACCCTAATACCACCTTGTAGTCATCTTTGGATGAATCATAACCAAAACCATAAATCATATATCCCTCGCGAGGGATTTGGGGCTCTTCCAGTTTATTCACTTCTCGGGTTTCAGGATTGATAAGTAAAAATTTGGTACGAGAGGGAGAAACGCATACCAAACCATTTGAAGAACCGAGTAGATGACGCCTGCGACGGACAGATAAGATATCATCAGCGTCATATTGCCAATAACTGCAGCGCATAACGGACATAGCAATTCTCCTGTTTCCCATTTTGTCATTTTCACGATCACGGCGATAACTGTGTTCGAGATGGGCTTTGATGAAATCAGGATCAGAGATCACATATTTCCATGACTTTGAAACGCTCCTGTAACGGATCAGATCGCTCACCTCTGATCTTATCAGTATTTGTTCAATCATTTCATCGGGCAACGGTGCCCTTGAAACCCTAGAACCGAATGCCCGCATTTGGAAAAGAGAGAATGGGTTGCGTGTGAGAATGCAGGCTTCTATTTATACTACATTTATTACTAGGCACTCGTAAAAGGATAAATTAAATTTCGCAAAATTTTACCGGATGTAGAGAAATTACCTTTAGTGATGTGCCTTGTTGAAACTTACCACATATACTTGTGGCTTTAATAAATTTGTAGATACTAATATGCATACCAAAGATGATTCTTGATTTACAATGGGAGTGGGAGAGGTACTGGAATCTAAAGTAACTATAAAGACATGATCAAAAGCAAGTGATGATCAAGTTAGCTGCATTGAATAACCCGATTTGTGCAGTTATCAAGATCTATCAGAGTTGTATTGGAAAGAAATTTGTTGCATAGAATCTTGATAAGTCAGTAAATTAAACCAGCTGTTCTATGGAAGTAGGAAGTTAGTTCTGGTGTAAATTAACAAACTGTTTTCAAGCAGTTGTACACGGTAAGAGCTGTTTTCAAGCAGTTGTACACAGTACATCTGGTGTAAAGTTTCTTCTTGGATGAAGTAGCAACTCGATTACCTTACAAACCTTGGACAATAAAGCAGGACAATTCAAAAGCAACACTTACAGCCATCCACCCACTACTTCTTCGATCTTCTATCTTATATTACAGAATTACATTAAACTTTATCAAACTTTATTTACTATTTAACATTCAAAGTTAATTAAAAAAATCAAACTTCAAACACAACCCTGTCGAATCAAGTCTATGTTCAAAACAAACCTATTTCATATTTCCACATATCAAAAAATTAACAACACTTACTATGCAAACAAAGTTTGCACCAAAATTAAGCCAAACCAGCACTAATGCGAAAATCAGTTACTATTTCATGCTCATAAGCAAATCTATAATCATTTATACATTGTGAATTATTTAATAAAAAGAAAACTTGAAATCGTGAGAAAGAAGTATCCAACGACAGTTTGTGAGGAAGAAAGAAATCTTGCCGGCGACCGAAGATGAGGATGATGACTGCGTGAGCCGATAGAGTTCCGATCGTTTCGAAATTGAGCTATTCGCTAGACATCCAAATCGTATGAGGTATAAACTATAAACCCTGCCAAAAGGTATTTCCTGTAAATACAGTAAATTGGACCGAGTACATGATAGAAATCGTGAACTCTGTTTAAATAATTTTCAGATCCTCACAGTTTTTTTTCTTTTTTTTTGGTCCATGTATAATTTTATTCTTAATTTATTCTTTTTTCTTTTACTCTCTTACAATTTTCAAACTATAAAATTAAAAAAAGGCTCCGCCTCACCCTACCCCACCCACCCTATCCCATCCCATTCCATCTCTTCTCCCTTGCAGTGGCGACCTTGGGTGTGCATGTGATGCGATAGCATGAGTCCTCCGAATTTTGGAACAAATATATAGTTATTTTTTCGTATTTTGTAAAAGACATTGTTTTGTGTTATCATTAAAGAAGATTAGTGGTGTCGGTTACTTATATACATAATGTAACATCAGTTTACAATCTAGAACTCATTTTAATTATAAAAAAATCAAAGAAAATCAAAAAATTAAAACTTAATCATAAATTTGAAAATTTATCACCTATTTAAGGAAAATGTTTATATCCAAAGAAAAGTACAAATTTGTTTCTAATAGAAATTTTAGCAAACGATTCATATTTTATAAAATACACTTTACCAAAAAAAACATAATATAAAAAATTAAAATCTAATCTAAAGTCTAAAAGACAATTTGCCCAAACAAACTCTCATTTTAAAATGTTTGTTAACTACAAGTTGGGAAAGTAAGATTGAAATTGTGAAAGCAATAGTGACTCAAGAAGAACTAAAAAAACGGTATTTTGATGGAATTAGCAGATGAAATTTCACTTCAAGTGTTGTTCATGCTTAAATATTTTGCATACATAGTTGATCAAACTATTGGTTCATTAGAGTGACTTTTTGAAAAATACAAGTTATGTGAAGATATTTTTGGTTTCTTATTCTCAACAAAAAAATTGAAGTCACTGAATACTAGTGAGTTAAAGGCAAGTTACAAAAACCTTGCACAGAGGTTGCAAAATTGTCATATCTTTTGGACTTGGGTGAGTGTTCAACACTCAATCTTTTCTTTGCTAGGTAGTTAGATCTTGGATTTTGACCCCTTTTCTTCGTATTTGATGGATTTTTAAAGGTGAGATCTGTAACGCCCGTAGATCCGGGCTAGTCAATTTAGAGATAATAGGGGTCGAAAACGACTTTTCGACAAAAGATTATTTAGAATAAATAATCTTAACCAAGTTGTAGAATATGTCTCAAGGGTTCCGTACATATAAAGAACACCGAAATCCGAGTTATAACGAAAAAGTTATGACCCGTCGAAGTTTCCCGATGGAACCGGCACGACACCGGGAAGCGTAAATAGTGAATTTACGATAGAGCGACTTTTAGCCTTAGCGACC